GTGTGTGTGTGTGTGTGTGTGTGTGTGTGACTTTGCAGCAGGGACGAACGAGGCGGAGGGGGACGACGTGGAAGCCGGAGGTGTTGGTGATGTGACTAAACAGCTGGAGGAGCAAACCCTGGAGGAGAGAGAGAAGGCTGAGGATGCAGAAGAAGGTAACTCCTCATCACGATCCACCTTCACAGGTTCCCTCCAAACTCACCCAGCTCCTCTCTGCGCTGTGCTTGTTTGATTTCTGGGCCCGGCTTGGAAACGTGCCCGAGCTGGTGTCAATATTTTTCATTTTCCTAACTGCACTGAAACTAATGATGCTTACGACAGATGGGGACGAGGGGGAAAACTCGGCCGGTAAAAAGAAGAGGAAGAAGAGGAAGAAGAAAGCCTGTAAGCTGTTTTACCTTTTCACTGCAGTAAAAAATAATAATAAAAAGTACACAAATGCAGCCAAGTCGGGTTCTTTATTTCAGGAATATACGTGTTTTAAACCCTCTCGCAACCCTCTACAAGTAACACTTTGTGTTTTCTTGTCTTTTTGCTGGTTCTTCCCTCTGCTTTGTGTTTTCTCTATCTGGGCCACAGCGAAGGGACAGACTGACCCTCCCTCAGTACCTATTTGTGAGCTCTATCCCAGCGGAGACTTTCCGAATGGAGAGGAGTGTGAATACCCCCCATCAAAAGACGGGTGTGTGACCTCGACACTTCACCTGAAGTTTTTATCTGAGACATTTTTTTTTAGGTCTCCTGACCGTAGCACAAACGTGAAGTTGTGATCGACAGTGTGGACGCACCGAAAATGAGCATCCCTGTCCTTGTTTGACCTCCTCAGACGCAGCGCAGCATGGAGGAGCACCAGCGAGGAGAAGCGAGCGATGGACAGGGCCAACGAGGAGATGTGGAGCGATTTCAGGCAGGCGGCCGAGGCCCACAGGCAGGTCCGCTCCTACGTCAGGACCTGGATCGAACCGGGGATGACCATGATTGACATCTGGTGAGAGTTGATTCGTGGCTGTCGCAATAATCCAAACTGCTTGAACGGAAGAGAACATAAAAAAGAAGTCATTCTGATGAGAGGGGAACCATCTTCAAGATTCAGGAAACTTTCTGTTTCCTTTCAGCTATTCATGTAGGAGGTGTGGTCATTTTCTCTGACATCAAACTATCTGAATCCAGGCCGCAAAGTGGAAGTTTTTGGAAACAACTGACATCTGTGTGAAATCATGAAACAGCGATTGTGATCGCAGCCTGCCACGTTTTCAGGAGATGGTTGATGTGTAAATGGGGTTTAAATCAGGTTTTAAAAAAGATCATCTCAGAAGGTGATTTGAGTGAAGATGATTTCAGTGCACCTTGAGGCTGTTAACTCCTATATTTAGCATCATTTGAATCCAATCAGATTAAGGCAGGATGGGTGTTAATGCAGGATCAAAACAGAGCACATTCTGCATCAATAGTTTCACGCTGTCTCAATTCGGGGGCTCCATCCTCTGTAGTGCACATTTGTCGGCTGGTTATGTCACTGCACCACAACCACCCAACGTTGTATGGGCTCCATTTCATGCAGCCTACAAATGCAGCCCTCAAAATCCCCAAAACGATGCATCTGTGTATCCTTCATGACCCACGATATCCCAGGATTCATTGGGACGTCATCAAATTTTACAGGAAAAAGAAAATGGCGGAGTATGAAAAGTCATCACGGACTGCAAAAATTCATTGTAGGGGATGAAATTTATGCTGCAATGTGATGTTAAATAACCAAGTACTGAAGTTAAACCCAAATTATTAATGCTTTTTGTGTATTTACATGTTATATTTTTAAAAATACATTGAATTTTGGGAAGTTATACCTCCAGGAAAAAGACGTGAATACATGTTCCAACGCATGTTTTAGGTATTTATGGGTGATGTGATACAAAACGTAACACTATGGTCATCCAAACACTAGACTGTCTCATTAAACAACCGTTATATTCAGTTCCCAGAATTCAAAGAGCGTGTAGCCACAGCTTCAGGATTCTTTTTCACCCTTGTCTTCATGTCGTGTTTTTTTTTTTCTGTCAGTGAGAAACTGGAGGACTGCTCTAGGAGGCTGATCAAAGAAAACGGGCTGAGGGCAGGCCTGGCTTTTCCTACTGGCTGCTCCATCAACCACTGTGCTGCTCACTACACCCCAAACGCAGGAGACCCCACCGTCCTGCGCCACGACGACGTCTGCAAGATCGACTTTGGGACGCACATCAACGGTGAGAACTCGTCTGGAGCAGCTCATTTGTGACGAGCTAAAATGGAGCTGGCTGATCTTGGAATAATAATTAGCAGTGCATGAAGGAACGCGTGTCGCCCAGCCTCTTTTCATGTCAGAGTTTTAGGCAACGATTTTGTGTAGCTAGTAGCACTTGGAGTATGTGCTGTGAAGGACTCTTGTCTACAACCACACCAAACTTTAGCTCAATCTCTGTAAACTTAATTAAGTTATGAGCGTTTTTCTGCTTCCTCATGTCAGCTGTTCGTGGCAGCCATCTTGAATTTGGTTGGCATCAAAGGTTGTTGATCCAGTGACACACACAAGCACAGAGTCGTGACTTTTTTTTTGTTTCAGGTCGAATCATAGACTGTGCGTTCACCGTCACTTTCAACCCAAAGTTTGACCGACTGCTGGAGGCTGTGAGAGACGCAACCAACACCGGCATCAGGGTAAAGCCGGTTTCTCCGTCCTTTCTTTCTCTTTCTTGACTTCTTTTTAAAAGAAACGCAGAAGACCTTATAATAGGAGTTGTGAAAGTCATCCCACTGGTGTGTTGGTGTCTGAGCAGAGCTGTTTTATGAACAAAGCTCCTAACATGACTCCGCGGAGGTTACAGCGTTCTTGAAAAGGTGGCTCGGTGTTCTTCAAACGGCTGATTCAGAGCAAAAAATCAGTGACCAAATATGAGCAAATGTAAGATAAAAGTGCACCACAAGCAGAGCGGATAATTCTCAGAGGGAGGTGGGAGGGACAGGAGGCATGTCCTTTACTGTTTAAAGCAGTAGTTCAGATCTTTTAAAGAGGGGTTCTATGGAAACACTATAAACAATCAAAAATATTACTTACCGTAGGTCCCCTGGACGAGTTCTTCTTTAATGAAACGTTTCGTCTCTTTTCCAAGACAAAACATTTCATCAAAGAAGAACCCATCCAGAAGACCTGATTATTATTATTTTTGGTTTTTCTACCTGGATTACTGAGATTCATTAGGACACTATAAACAATTGCTATCTTACCTGTTGTAGACAGCTCTTTGAACAATCTCAGTTTAGAGAAAAACTGACCTGGATTGATGATTTTTGGATAAATAATGTCCTTTACAAATTGCTATGAGCAGTTTTATCATGTTTCTTTCTGTGATGTGTGTGATGTGCTCATTCTGCTGTGGGAATAATTTTGTTTACGACAATCTAAATCTTGAAGGAACTAAAGCAGGACTTTGTTTTCTCTCTGAAAGAATATAACATTTTGCAACCCATTCTCACTCCCAAGTCGTCACATACTGACACAGGTTCCATCTGCGTTCGGTTTTGACGCGTTGGGTACCCCCCTCGCATCAGTTATTGATGAGATAGGGCAGAATTTGTTGTCATAATTTCAGAAAGTGTAGAAAATGCACAAAAACTAACCGTCCCGTACCCTAAATTTACCTTTATTCACTCTAGACATTCTGTCCCTGACCCTATAGTACATAAAATTAACCATCAACCCTGGTCCCTAAAATTAATCATTTTTAGAAAGTGAAGGAAATTCATGTCAACTGTGTCCCAAACCCTAAAATTACCCAATATTTGCCCTAGACATCATATCCCTGACCCCACAGCCTAAAATTAACCATGAATCCTGATCCCTAATATTAACCACGAACTCCAGCTCAAAGACCCCTATATTTTGTGTCACGCCAGTGGAGCCTGAGCAAGCGTCAATATGTGACGAGTTGGAAGTGAGAATGTGTTAGTCTAGTAACTGTGGTTCCCTAACCTCAGACTTTGAAATCAGCAGAGCAATGGTCAGTACTGTCCTTTCACACTGCTGGAGATAAAGACTGGCTTTCCTGTGAGCTGGAAGAACAGCGAGAGTAAAGAAAACTGATGGATGGATATAAAATCATTATAAATCAATTAGATTGTCTCATTATCAGTGTTCAAACTGGGTCAGTACTCATCTTTAGCCTTACCATAATGTTACTTTTTATAGCTTACTGTTAGTTGACATAAACCTGCCAGTACACAGCATCAGCATCACCAACTGTAAACTGCAACCGATTTGTATCATCTAGATTACACACAGGGCCATTTGCATCATGAAACTTATTTACCAGGGGTGCAACAATACAGTACATGTACCCGTATCGAACCGCACCGAACCGTATCGAACAATACAGATTTAAAAAATTTACTTTATCAACATGTCTTCTGAAGATGCTCTGTGTTRAAGGATCAGAGGATCTGTGTTTGACTACTCCACCTAGGCTGCATTTTTGAGCACAGGTCCACTGAGAAACTTGCTGTTTCAGCAACATTCAATTAAAAAACTGTAATTTTTGAGGTTAAACAAATGTTCATAATTAATATAAATAAATTACAAGTTAAAAGGGGCATGGAAATTTCTCTTTTTTTGTATCAGAAAAATATCGAACCGTGAGACTAAAGTATCGAACCAAACCGAACCGTGAATTTCCTGTATCGTTGCACCCCTATTATTTACCTATTTTTTATGTCAGCTTGGTGATTTGTGACTTCTTCTTTATAGATAAGAATCTGTAAAGAATTTTATTACAAAAATAAAATAAAAACTGACACCCAACAAAACAATTTTTTTATTATTCAATAATCATTCAAACATTCCTTTTTTACAGCAGTGATCAGAGAAACACTAACCTCAACATCTGAATCAGAATTATTGTAAAACTCGTGTTTAAAAAACAATTTAGTTTCCAGTTTTATTCTAAACAGAAAAAGTACAAATATAAAGAATTATAAGTGATGATCATGTTTTGTTGAGAGCAAAGCTAACCCAGTAAATGTGGAGAAATGAAATGACTCAGATGTGAACTGAACCTGTTGCTTCAGACGTTTTGTTCTGTTGGGCTGATTGATTGACAGGACAGATGATCAGAGGAGCTGAGTTTTTACCTGCATCGTTGTTGCAGGGACTGAAGAACGGGCTGAGTTCTTCAGTGAAGCAGCAGCCCGTAAAGGCGTAGATCAGAGCTGCAGCGTCGACATCATAAAAGGAGACCAGACCCTCCTGATAATCCACAAACATGCCCACCTTCTCAGGACTAGGTTGAAGACTGAGACAGTCTGGAGGATCAGCACCAGCAATGAACACATTACCAATTCTCAACACAACAATCCAGAAACCATTTTGAGGACTTGCTACAATTTTTCCCTTCCTGTTGATGGACTTCCTGACCACTCCTAAATCCCAGTCAGTTTTTCCTTTAACCTGAACCTCAAAGTAAAATCTGCCTGAAGAGAAAATCTCATTCCCTAAAACAGAAACACACTCAGTAAACCTCCCGGGGTCGTCTGGAAGCTCTCTCTCTCCACGTCGCTGTGGGTCACTTGTTTTCCATCGTCAGACAGGACGAGATTAGGATGAGCAGTTTTAGGATCCAGGGTCAGGTCCACCCCGAACTGCTGGACCCTCTTCAGCTCAGCCTCAAACATCTTCCTCATCTTGTTCCTGAGGTTCTTCTCCAGCTGAGCCACAGCTCTCACCACAGTTCCTTCATATGATGGGGGGTGGACTCTGGCCTCGGTCCAGTCCCTGCTGGGCGGAGCAGCTTTCAGGGACTTGAAGCTTTGGAGGAAGTGGAGGTGGTCTTCAAAGCCTGAGAGAGAGCATCTTCAGTTCAGATCTCCTCTTCATCAGCTCAGAGATCTCCTGCTCCAGATCACTGATGAAGTCTTCAGCCCGTTTCTCTGTGGTTTTCTGTTTGTCTTCAATCTCCTTCATGAAGCTCTTCTTCTTCCTCTCAACAGACTCCATCAGATCAGTGAAGAACTTCTGCTATCTTGTTGTCTCCAGCATCTTTACTGCTCTTCACAGACTCTTTGGTTTCCTGGATCTTCAGCCGTCGGTTCTGGATCATCTGCTGAACTTCAGCCTTCGTCTTCTCCAGCTCTGCTTTCTTTTCTTCATATTCTTCTCTCAGAGGAACAAACTCGTGAGTCTTGTGGTCCAGAACAGAGCAGAGCATGCAGACACAGGTCTGGTCGGTCTTACAGAACAGCTCCAGGGGAACACATCCGGTCCTCCAGGTTCAGACACACCAGGCAGGACTTCAGGGCCTTCACATTGGTTCCAGTGCAGACGTCACAGAGAACTTCTCCTGGTTCTGCAGCTTGTTGCTCTGAGCTGCTGCTGCTTTTCAGCTGAGCTTCACGTCCGAACTGAGCAACCATGTCTTTGACGAAGGTGTTGACCTAACCTAACCTAACCCAGCAAGAAACAACAAGTTTCAGCTGACGCTGGCAGAGAAAAGAGAAACTTGCTGTTTGATTGAAGGTCTGAGTTTTGTGTTAAGGCTGCATGTAACAATACCAGGAAAGAAAATCTTCTGAACTCACCTGGTTTTGAATCAGATGTTAGGAAAGAAAAGATGAATTTAGGTTATTTTTTTTTCAGATGTTTTTTTCAGCTGCAGCTCTGCTCTGACACAAGAAGTTTTAACTTTCATTTCCTAAATGTGACATAAAATCTTTGTTATCCACTTTTGCCCCACATTTTCCTGCTGGTAGAATCCACAGATTTTCTTTTTTAAATAAAAAAAGTCAAACTTTACAAATTTACCTCTTTTTAAAAAATTAATAAAACTAAATG